TTGCTCACGGTATTGTTCATCGAATGGTACATAATATTTCACCATAACATATGATATGTAAGAGAAACGAGAGGAACAATACTTACGGTCATAGTGGAATCTTCATTAGCCGCCATTTTATTTCGCTCCGGAGCGTTTCCGCGTAAATGAAACGCTCCGTCGTGCATGTAGGAGCGTTTGGGTTATACACCGTGATCACCGTCAATAGCACTGCCTGCGTCTAGGCCGCTCCAATTATTTGTTTATTTATCATGATATACCATGTTTACTGTCCATTCAAGGTGGTATGGAGTTGTGCCATTTTTGTATGATATCGCATATAAATGTCAAAATGAAAGGAAAAAATAAGATTCAGAAAATACCATGTGCATTATGGCAAGTGATTTTAGATGGTCGTATCTTTCACCATGAGTACTTTCTGGGCATAAACACGGTGGTTTTTAATATGTTTTCTTTCAAGTGAAATACCCATGATGATAAAAACACCAATTGAACAATTCGAAAAATTATGAATAGGGACCCCCATGTCAACGTTTTTGTTTTCAAAATATTGAACCTATTTACTCAAAAGAGGGCCAATAACGCCTAGGCCCTGTACTATTGTATTGTATGACTTATTACTATTTCATAAGAAAACATGAAAAAAGGATCTTTTTCTGATTTTTATTGCATGAAGATTATTCAACAAGGTGTCTAAACCATCTTCAAAAATAGAATGGTATTAAAAGTCTAGCTTTGAAGATATCAATTTTCGATGACCAAAATTATGCTGAAAACAATGGATAGCACGAGTTTTCCCTATGGGAAAATAACATGGGATAAATAAAAAATAAAATAAAGAAAAAATATTCCATTGGAGGGATTTGAACCCAGATCTTTTGGAATAAAAGTCTGTTTGACCCCAAAGCTCTAACCACTACACCAAACTGCCAAAGCTCCCTGAGGAAGAAATTCTTTATCTATATAATCATGGACGAAAAAGTCTTATTTACATGCTTAAATTTCTTAAAAATGATCAGCATTACTACTAATAATAACATTTTGCATGTCTGAGTAAGTATTTTGATCTACATTTAGGATAAATGTTGTTTTATTCAGTTTTCATTTTGGGTATGACTTCCTGTCAAAACAGTGTTAAAAATGCAGGGCTCAACAAAAATTTTCAATTAGAAAATGATATATATCCTTTGATCAGCTGTTTTGGCACCTGAACTCATCCTACTAGAAAGGTAAGAGCATTTTCTTGAGACATATGGCTCGAAATCTCACATTTCTCCTTCTAAGTCTTAGAAAGACACTTTAACTCATTTCAATACCCATCCCCTTTTCAGAAATTGTTAATATAGTGTAGAGGAGATTTTTAATATGTTTAAATTGAGAAAAACAAGATCCTCTAGAAAATGAGCCTAACATTTTTAAAAAGTGCCAAGGTGGGGTCCTAATCAATAACTTTCCAAAGAGTTAGATCGATATTTTACTATCATGGGGACTTTACCTGAAAGAACACATATTGTTTTAATAAAAACAACTGTGTTGATGGCCAGAAAGTACTCATGGTGAAAGATATGACCATCTAAAATCACTTGCCATATTGCACAGGGACCTTTGAAAAATTGTCGGTTTATCCTGAAATAAAGTCAGAGCTGTCAGCTTTATTAGAAAATAACCATGATCTGACATGGATTAACGAAAAAGCTAAAATATTGTCAATTGTGACAAATGTCCATTTTAGTAACAACTTTATTGGTTTATTGCAGTGCCGTGGGTTCATACATAAAATACTAAAATACATTTATAAAGATGCCGGATAAGTATTACTCTGTTACTAGACAGTTTGTTTTATTACGACATGTTTTTTGATTTCATTTAAATTTATTTCATAATTTCTTAATAATATAAAAATTATGCCGCTTAACGCCTACACAAGTATGGGCATATGTTGCGGTATAACATGTGTCTACAGTCTACATAAATATAATGTTAAAGTCCCATAGCGACAAGTCTCTATAAATAACGACATGTCTCTATGTTAAAGTTCCAGAACGACATGTCTCTTTAAATAATGTTAAGTTTCAGAACGACATGTCTCTATGAATAACGACATGAAGTCCCAGAAGGACATGTCTCTTTAAATAATGTTAAAGTCCCAGAACGACATGTCTCTTTAAATAATATTAAAGTCCCAGAACGACATGTCTCTATAAATAACGACATTTATTCCATAGTTAGCATGGTATTCATAGGATAACATGTGAAAATAAAAACGGTATTTTTGTAATCAGTGGTAAAATATGATATTTTTGACAAATTTTCACGTAACCATAGCATACGGTGTTTATGCCATGACATACGGGGCTGTATGCGATGATTAATGGATTTTTGCTACTTCAGACTCAAAACGAGGCTAAGTGTCAACATCGCCGGATTGTTTGGAAAATTCGGATTAAATCACTTAATTTCCGACGATTCTGATGATGACTTTAACTATGGAATAAAAAGAACATCCTATGATTTACTCGTGATATGATTTTAATCCACTCATGGATATTGATATCTGCACTCTCTCGCTACGTTCGCTCATGCAGATATCATATCCATTCGTGGATAAAAATCATATCACTCATAAATCATAGGATATCCTCTATTTATCCCATAGTTGAGATCAAATCTGTAGAATAACACGTATATATATATTTATGATATTTTGCAAATGCGTGGAAAAAAGCGATATCTATGGAATACGGAGAATATTCCACAGATATCACTTTTTTCCACGGATTTGAAAACTCCCGCCAATGTGACATGCATTGTTACATGGTTACACGTTATATGCTTACATGGTGATTTCACGACGTCACAAATATGGAAATGATTAATGTTTTTTCTATAGGCTAGTTCAAATGACAAAATAAAACTCAATGTTGTTGTGAAATGCTTTGTAAGGTGAACTGTTGGATGATTTGATGTCAACTATGGGATAAATAGAACATCTTATACGTCTCTATGTTTAAGTCCCAGAACGACTTTTCTCTGTAAATAATAAATTGAGGTTTCCCGCTTATATGTTGTCAGGTTTCCCGCTTATATGTTGTCGAATTAGTAGCTCATGATATTGTCAGTAAACTATGATTCACTTGTAGTGGCCTTTCCCAAGCCTTAACAGTGAACAACGGCGGTGTTTGTAATGAATGGGACTACAACGGCCCATAGTGATGACAGTCAATACCTCACTGTATACAGTCGTATTCAGGTATTGACTAAATAAAAAAGAAATATAACTATTTTTTCGGCGCTTGCGCGGAAAAAAATTTTGGGCCCCTAAAACCGAAAAGTGGGCCCAAATTTTGAAAATTTGAGGCCCATTTTCTTCAAAATTTGGCCTGAAATTAAAAAATAAGGCCTTAGAAGGCCTAGTTATGACCAAAAAGGCCCACTTTCTGGTGCCTGAAGGCCTTTTTTGGCCCAAAATTTTTTGGGCCCAATTTTTGATTTTTCTGGGCCCAACTTGGGGGGGGGGGGCCTGGCCCCTTGGGCCCCCCCCCCAGATCCGCCATAATTGTAGCATCGGCAATGCAGTGGCGCGCATTCTTTCTATTCAAGACGGAACTGGGAATATAGACCATTAAGCTTTAAATGTCAAGCATTCTCTCAGAGTCTTACATCTCTCTCTTCCCAACGTATTATAAATTATAATACAAAAATGTGATACAGGTATTTTACAGCTAAAATATGAATTTCATTTTATTGAAGAACCAATACATACAAACAGAACCACATCTTTGGCTTGGTCAATGTTGGTCTATCACAAGGGATGATGCATGTTTTGTGTTAGGGATGAGACACCAACGAATTCTATACCATAAGCTCGCATTGCTAAAAGGATGCTCTCGAATTAAAATACATTGTCACGTTAGGCTAACTGGAGATTTAAAAGTGAATCTGATCATATAGATTATATTCAAAGCCACATGAATATATTTCTTGAAGAAGTCCTTGTCACAGTATCTAAACGAGTCTTATTAATAAAATCATTTGCATTCTAATGATTATCACTAATAATTATATGTACATCGGGGGATTCACTGAATATAAACATTGACGGGGATCCTCGGTTCGTGAAGGGTACCTTTTTTGACATTTTTTTTATGGCAATGGACCCACAGTTTAGGCTGCCCCCCCCCCCCCAATTATGACTTTTGAGATATGACAATGGTAGGATTTTTCAACTGAGAACGGTCGTCTAGTAGAGAATAGGGAGTTTAAGATTAGCGTAAATAACCCATTTACCTATACCTATACGTAGCTTGTTATTACACTAAGCGGTATTTTACCTAAGTTACAAGGCTTATGATACGTAATTACCTATAAATGGCCGAAGATAGGTAATTCGTAAACGTATGTTTTTATCCAACAAATTATGTCATTTCTAGAATCAAATATCATCCATTAAACTTTAAAATAGTAACAACAAACATTTCTCATTCTAACTGCATAGAAATTAAGTGGTCGAACACATTCAATGATGCGATAAACGATGCCATGTGATGATGCATGAAATTGTTGAATTTACACATTTTTCATCAGTTTTGCTTATTGTAAATGTATGAAATCAGCCATTTTCTCGTGGTTTTAATTGTTTAACTTTACTACTTGGTCACTCTCATTGCTGGATCATGCTAGAAATTTAACATTTCGCCTTAAAGAGGAAAACTTCAGTTAATGGATACACCCGGGTGTCTTATGTAACATGTGAAATGCCTACCAGATAACAAACAGCCAATCAGCTGTTAGCAGGGGATGTGGCTTAGCAGTAATGGGTTATTTATAAACACAAGCACATGGCATTTTGTTGCTATGATTCATTCATTTATATTTATATATCCTAATTTCCCAAACATCATTGATTATTAAACAATTCATTGTAGATATTTAGGTTATAATTGTTCATCAATTATATCTAGTATATTGTTTTCATTTCTGCAAAGTTTGGTGTATAGTCATTAATCCCATAGATGTCCCATATAATCAATTCCTCCAGGATTGGGGAGCCATCCACGCACAAGTCTTACTATACAATCTGGCATGATGTCTCTTCTGTGTCCATGATATACATATAAGTTTCTCCTCGCATCCGTCTGCAGTGCCAATTGTTTTTTTGAAACATATCGAGGGTGCCTCCATGCACCTCTATGTTGCAGCATCACCCAGAATTTTTTGTAACATTTTTTTCTAGCTGTTGAATTCCTTTCATGAGGCTCACTGGTTTCTGTTTGCCACCACAACTGTCTAAACTGTTCTGATGTGCAACACGGGGCACAAAAACAATGTGGGCATTCATCAGTACCCAATACTGGTGGAAATATCGGAGGGCCCAATGGATCATTATCGTCACTGTCTACATCCATGTCAGTTTTAGTCTCGACTGGTTGGCTTGATTGTTCACTATTTTCACTTTCCAAATGTTGCTTTAAATCTTCAATACCAGCTTCTTTCACAGTGATGCCACAATGCTCTAAAAATGTTCGTATTGCAAGTTCTTCTGTTTCATCAGTCCATATGGCAAATATATAACGTTTTGCAGACATTTTTGCATGGAACAAAAATGATTATAAGTAATTGTTTATATGCTGGTTCTGATAAGAGTTTTGAATATACTGTTTATAGATAGTGGGGATGGTCACATGAGATTCTACTTCTAATACAAGTCAAGCTAAGTTCAAAATACCATATTCATTCTATCAAAATACTTGCACACTTTTCAGGATAATGCAAACCAGCAAAAATAAGTAGTTTGGGCACATTTTGGAACACTTATGGTAATTCATTAGAAATTGCTAAAAGAGCAGTGGTAGGTAAATGGGACCTTATGGCTATGTGTTGACAGACTTATGAAGACATTTCACAAGTGTGTATCAAATTAAAGTTAGATTATCATCATTCAAAGTCTTTTTCAATGGCAGATCCCTTGATCTTTTAGTGTCTGTTCCATGGATCTGTAATCTTCATCCCATAATCAGACCATTACTTGTAGATTTAGACCAGCATGATCACTTGTAATGTTCTGGATAGCTACCTCCTATGGATCATCATTATCTAACCGAGGGTGTACCACTTAGTACTCCACTTGATTAGCTACACTATAAGCTATAATAATTAATATAATAGACCATATAAATTCACATTACTCTATATCAATAAGGCACACAAATGAAAGTTGACATTTTTACTAGCCATGGATGAACACATTCTGATGACCCCTTGGATTTGCCTCAAGTCTCTGGTCACCCCCCCCCCCCAGGATCACCCAAACTTAATAGTAAACTATAAGATCTGACAACATGAGTAAGGAATGATGCAAGCTGGATGACAATAACTTGTTTGACATTGCTTAGTTGCCAAATGGTGCTGGAAGTAAGATCATTCTTGCATAAAAATGAAATGACTAAGTTAATATTTAGTTCCATGTACAAAAGTTACTTTCCTGTGTACATTTACAATTTCACCAGATCATTGGTAAAACTGAAGAGAAGAAATCTTATCAAATGACACATCCCTGAGAACAAATCTGTCAAAACTCAAAAACCAAAACCAAGCACTTTATCAGTGATTTTCTCCTGAATAAGACACATCAATAAGCATATAAGCAAAACTATCAAAGAAAATGAGTGAAGAAAAGAAATTCTCTAATAAAGGGTTGACCTTTCAACTCTATCTGAGAGGAAATGAAGTAAGAAAAAATGAAGTTCTTAGAAAAATGAGATTCCTCAAGGAAAAATCGCTTTCTAAAAAGTTGTCAAATAAAACTGACGTAATTGAAGAGGCCCTTGATTTTTGGATTAAAAATCATTCAAGAGAAACTGAAACGGCACAACCAGCATCGCAATTGGTCATCAATCAGGACTTTGTACCACTTCAACCATTTTCCTCTGTTTCCAAGGATGACACAAACGAATTGATGTTTTTAACAACAACAAGTGCCATAAACCTTCTTGTAGCACAATCGAGTCATCACCAAGAACTATGTAACTCCACTCTTCAATGGGAGAACAGTACAATGCATGGGCACGTCGCCATTGCTAATCTTAGATGTGAGCATGGACATAATATAAGATGGACTTCATCCCCATACATGGCAAATGCTCATTTTCTTGTTAATTATAGAGTGTTCCATGGTTATATTACATCTGGGATGATACCTTCAAAGTATGAACGATTCTCTGAAGGTGCTAACATTGGCACCATGTCCCAAAGCTATTTGGACAATCTTACAAAGGAGTTCGCCAATATAATTAAATCTTTGAAAAATGAATCATCTGAGAATGCTGTCGAGTTGGAAATTGGGATGTATCCAAACTTAGAAGAAGGAATAACCATCATGACAGATGCTAGACACGGTTGCAGAAAGAACGCTAAAGACTGTGATATAGTTTGCATTGGTGAAAAAACTCATCAAGTCTTGCATTCAATCCATGTTACAAAGAGAGATGATCCCTGTTCACAGCGACATGAAACATTTGGCACACGCAGAATGTATGATGATTTTGAGAGGCAAAATGTGTCTATTGGTACACACGTTCACGATTGTAATGGTGCTGTGAACTGCCTTGTGAGAGATACTCAGATATTTACGGACAACCAAAATGACTCATGGCACGCCTGCATTGCTTTAAAGAAGCAAATTCAAAATGTTGCATCAGGGCCCAAGTATAAGCATGGTCAATCATGGCATGCTCAACTGGAAGATAAACCAGAAGCAATAAGGAAATTTGCTTATACAGCCATGAAAAATTGTGGCGAGAATGCAGAAACATTGAGATACATGCTGGCAAATATGACTGAACATTTCCAAAATAATCATCAAAACTGTTTTGATCAATCTCGCTGTCGACTAGATCCAAACTATGAACCAAGTACAATTGTTGTGAGAAACGATGTTGCTATTCGACTATTAAATGATACAATTAAAAAAAGCACAATCTATAAAAATGCACATAATTACACAAAGGCGCTTTCAACAGCATATGTTGAAAGTTTTAACAATACACTAAACATGTTCCAGGATAAACGGATTTACTTTCAAGATATTCAATATGAAATGAGGACAAATTTAGCTGTATTATACTGGAATGAGAATGTGGACAGGGCTTATACAAGCTTGTTCGAGTCAGAAGCCCCAGACATTCCCTTCAAGCACCCCAAAAAAGTTCTAACAAAACCAACATATTCCTTCAGAGAAAACATTTGGGAAAAACTGATTGAATCAGTTTATACCTAGAACCAAAGGATCATATACAACATTGAATCAAAACATATTTTGGATTTTTATATATTTGGATATTCATCTTCAGTTCTGGATTACTTGAATAATGGTCATGAACTGGTAAGTAGGCACATTTTGTCTATCACTTCATAACAGAACCACATGCTTTTGTTTACTTGTCATGACCTTTGACCTGAGAGCATAACATATTATTGGTCAAGTTCAAATTAAAGCCACATCCCACTGCGAATATTTAATGAGACATTTAAAATATTTCTTTTCAAGTTTGCTTGAAATATACTGGATAATATTGGAATATGATTCGACATTTCTATTCTTTATGGTTTAATACATAACTGTTAGAAATTTGGATGACTGGAAGTTCCTAGAAATCATGATATTGGCAAAATCAAAATAAATTTACTGGTTTCAGTGATTCAAACATTTTCAACAGACATAATTGGCTGTTCCAGCTCTTCCATCTTCCTTTTATACCCGGTTTTCCCCTTTAAGTCACTGCCCCATTAGCGGGTCCACAAGCAACACCCCCTCCCAACCACAGTAGCTACACCACACTCTCTTTGAAATATATAACAGTTCTTGGATATGACATGTACTGGTATATGCCAAATATAGTGGGCTGTAAAGCAAGGTTGGTCGGGGTCGGGAGCTGGGGATAATTTTATTGCTTAAATATAACCATATCATCATCCTACATTAGAATCCACTCAGTCTTACATCAATTTCTGGTGCGAAAGTTGTCATTTTTGAGTTTTACCCCCCTTGACAACAAATTCTTGGGGGTACTATGACAAATGCTTATAACTATAGAAGTATTTATTTGATCATCTTCATTTTTGGCATGGGTAATGAACAGGTATGTAAAAGTAAAATTTGAAAAATTCATACAAATCGGGTGATTAATCCATTCTAAAGATAATAATTCAGTTATTTTCAAGGGTCAATTTCAACATTTTCTGAATGTCGCCATGAAGTAAAAATGACATTATGACCCAATGACATATTTATTGAATGTTTTTAGGCTTTAGAAAATAATTTGACTATATAAGCTAAAATAATAACATGAGAATTGTATGATATTGATAATTCTTCATCGCCATCCAGGCACAAATAAACTCCCCTCTCCCCCATTTTCGAATATAAAGGTCTATACCTGAAACTTCCTCAAATAGCTATATTTCAGAAACTATTACAGCCTACATTCCAAAATTTCTCATGGTGATTATACACATCATACTCTGCATAATAGACATATAATTGAGATTTATCCATTCTACATCTAATAATTAAGGTATTTTCAAGGTTAAATTTCAGCATTTTCGGAGTGTCGCCATGAAGTAAAAATTGCATGACCCAATGACATATTTATTAAATGTTTTTAGGCTTTAGAAAATAATTTGACTATATACGCTAAGATATGACATAAGAATTGTACAATATTGATAATTCTTCATCGCCATCCAGGGATAAATGACCCCCCCCCCCATTTGCCAAAAGAAAGGTTTTTACCTGAAACTTTCTCAAATAGCTATATTTCAGAAACTATTACAGCCTCCATTCCAAAATTTCTCATGTTGATTACACACATCAAAGTTTGCATATTATACATATAATTGAAGTCTTAACACTTTTTTGAGGGTGTAGCTAAGAATAATAGTATATTTATTAGACATCTTAGAATTCAAAATATATATTTTAGAAGGTTGTCACAACACTACAAGAGAGATATTTTGGATTGTCATCATTTTTGAAAATATTACAAAAACATATTCATATTATGCAATAATCACCTATTTTCATTTGACATAATTGAAATATATTATCTAGCTAGTTTTAATGATTTCAGTATATGCATTTAATCCTGAGATGCACTTAGGTTTGATATCCATAAAGTAATCGTTTCTTTTTTGTTTGTTATTTAGTTTCTAAGCATAAAACTATAAGCATTAAATCTGTATGCTTTAGGATCAATAGCGATGACTAAACATTCAATTGACAACATTCAGTCAATATGCTTGACAACATTGAATAATGATTAATATGTTTGACCAATATGTTTTTGAATAACTTCACAATACATTTTGCTTGAGCATTCAATTCAACATTTGCTTCAAGCAGTTGAACATTGTTAGTTATCAACATCACCTAAACATATTTCATCTATGAAATTGTTGACTTCATTATCTATCATATCATTTTCAATTTTGTCATCTGATTCTTCGTTATAAATGTCTACCAACTCTTGTGGAAGAATGGCATTTGGATTTTCAGCCAATTGTTTATCAAGTTCGCCATTTTCTAGGATCCATCCATTTTCTGCAGGAGAAGGTATATCCATTTGGGCTTTGTGAGACTGCTTCCATATGTAAGCTTGGTAGTTACATCTGTTACAATGTTGAACAAGGGCTGACATGGATGGAGGAAGGAGACTGATGTCTATCGCATCATAGTTGTTGATAGAGGCTTGAGGTTGAAATCTGTTTGCAAAATTTATGTATCGTACATGATTGATGTCTGTTTTTTTTTCTTTTCCCCGTACATGATGCACCCAAATCTCTCGAGTTCTTGAAGATGCCTTGGTCAAGAACTATAGATTTTCCAAGTTCTTGAAAGATTGCATGCATGTCCTCCCTCTTGATCAGCTATTTCAGAGGGTTTATTTTTCCCTTTCTCATGAAGGCACTGGTGGTATCACACCCTGTAAAACAGTGGATACCGATCAGGGTGGCTGTGATTGGATCACCTTGACTCTTCTTACTCACAAGTGATGGGTCACATGTTGTTAGTGAGGAAGTCCTAGACCTATGGTGCAACCATGATGAAGCTGAAACAAAAATCATTCTCCATGCTTTATATGCATCAAGGCAGGTGGGGGCTGAGGCCAAGACCATACTTGTCAGATCTCCAGACACAGATGTACCCATACTCCTGCTACATTACATCAAACACCTACTTCTCAAAGTACTGTTTGACACTGGAGTTTCAAACAAGAGGCGCCTCATTGATGTGAAGACAGTTGCAGCAGGTTTGGGTGATCCAATCACAGCCACCCTGATCGGCATCCACTGTTTTACAGGGTGTGATACCACCAGTGCCTTCATGAGAAAGGGAAAAATAAACCCTCTGAAACAGCTGATCAAGAGGGATGTCATGCATGCAATCTTTCAAGAACTTGGAAAATCTACAGTTCTTGACCAAGGCATCTTCAAGAACTCGAAAGATTTGTGTGCATCATGTACGGGGAAAAGAAAAAACAGACATCAATCATGTACGATATATAAATTTTGCGAACAGATTTCAACCTCAAGCCTCTATCAACAACTTTGATGGGATAGACATCAGTCTCCTTCCTCCATGCAGGTCATCCCTTGTTTTAGCAGAAAATGGATGGATCCTAGAAAATGGCGAACTTGAAAATCCATATGCCATTCTTCCACAAGAGTTGGTAGACATTTATAACAAAGAATCAGATGACGATATTGATGATGATATGACAGATAATGAAGTCAACAATTTCATAGATAAAATCTTTTCAGGTGATGTTGATAACTAACAATGTTCAACTGCTTGAAGCAAATGTTGAATTGAATACTCAAGCAAAATGTATTGGTGAAGTTATTCAAAAACATATTGGTCGAACATATTAATCATTATTGTTATTGAATGTTGTCAAGCATATTCACTGAATGTTGTTAATTGAATGTTTAATTAGTCACCAGTATTGATTATGTATATCCTAAAGCATACAGAGTTAATGCTTATAGTTTTATGCTTAGAAACTTAATTACACACAAAAAAGAAACGATTACTTCATGAATATCAAACCTAAGTGCATCTCAGGATTAAATGCATATACTGAAATCATTTAAACTAGATGGATAATATATTTCAATTATGTCAAATGAAAATAGGTGATTATTGCATAATATAAATATGTTTTTGTAATATTCTCAAAAATGATGACAATCCAAAATATCTCTCTTGTAGTGTTGTGACAACCTTCTAAAACATATATTTTGATTTCTAAGATGTCTAATTATACTATTATTCTTAGCTACACCCTCAAAAAGTGTTAAGACTTCAATTATATGTATAATATGCAGATTTTGATGTGTATAATCAACATGAGAAATTTTGGAATGGAGGCTGTAATAGTTTCTGAAATATAGCTATTTGAGAAAGTTTCAGGTAAAAACCTTTCTTTTGGCAAATGGCAAATGTATTTATCCCTGGATGGCGATGAAGAATTATCAATATTGTACAATTCTTATGTCATATCTTAGCGTATATAGTCAAATTATTTTCTAAAGCCTAAAAACATTTAATAAATATGTCATTGGGTCATGCAATTTTTACTTCATGGCGACACTCCGAAAATGCTGAAATTGAACCTTGAAAATACCTTAATTATTAGATGTAGAATGGATAAATCTCAATTATATGTCTATTATGCAGAGTATGATGTGTATAATCACCATGAGAAATTTTGGAATGTAGGCTGTAATAGTTTCTGAAATATAGCTATTTGAGGAAGTTTCAGGTATAGACCTTTATATTCGAAAATGGGGGAGAGGGGAGTTTATTTGTGCCTGGATGGCGATGAAGAATTATCAATATCATACAATTCTCATGTTATTATTTTAGCTTGTATAGTCAAATTATTTTCTAAAGCCTAAAAACATTCAATAAATATGTCATTGGGTCATAATGTCATTTTTACTTCATGGCGACATTCAGAAAATGTTGAAATTGACCCTTGAAAATAACTGAATTATTATCTTTAGAATGGATTAATCACCCGATTTGTATGAATTTTTCAAATTTTACTTTTACATACCTGTTCATTACCCATGCCAAAAATGAAGATGATCAAATAAATACTTCTTTAGTTATAAGCATTTGTCATAGTACCCCCAAGAATTTGTTGTCAAGGGGGGTAAAACTCAAAAATGACAATTTTTGCACCAAAAATTGATGTTAGACTGAGTGGATTCTAATGTAGGATGATGATATGGTTATATTTAAGCAATAAAATTATCCCCAGCTCCCGACCCCGACCAACCTTGCTATACAGCCCACCAATAAGCCATCGCATTGTTTTCATTCTATAATTAGGATGTTAATTTTATCATAAATTGTAGCATACGGTTTCGCAGCCTTTTACGTTAATCTTAAAGGGGAAAACCGGGTATAAAAGGAAGATGGAAGAGCTGGAACAGCCAATTATGTCTGTTGAAAATGTTTGAATCACTGAAACCAGTAAATTTATTTTGATTTTGCCAATATCATGATTTCTAGGAACTTCCAGTCATCCAAATTTCTAACAGTTATGTATTAAACCATAAAGAATAGAAATGTCGAATCATATTCCAATATTATCCAGTATATTTCAAGCAAACTTGAAAAGAAATATTTTAAATGTCTCATTAAATATTCGCAGTGGGATGTGGCTTTAATTTGAACTTGACCAATAATATGTTATGCTCTCAGGTCAAAGGTCATGACAAGTAAACAAAAGCATGTGGTTCTGTTATGAAGTGATAGACAAAATGTGCCTACTTACCAGTTCATGACCATTATTCAAGTAATCCAGAACTGAAGATGAATATCCAAATATATAAAAATCCAAAATATGTTTTGATTCAATGTTGTATATGATCCTTTGGTTCTAGGTATAAACTGATTCAATCAGTTTTTCCCAAATGTTTTCTCTGAAGGAATATGTTGGTTTTGTTAGAACTTTTTTGGGGTGCTTGAAGGGAATGTCTGGGGCTTCTGATTCGAACAAGCTTGTATAAGCCCTGTCCACATTCTCATTCCAGTATAATACAGCTAAATTTGTCCTCATTTCATATTGAATATCTTGAAAGTAAATCCGTTTATCCTGGAACATGTTTAGTGTATTGTTAAAACTTTCAACATATGCTGTTGAAAGCGCCTTTGTGTAATTATGTGCATTTTTATAGATTGTGCTTTTTTTAATTGTATCATTTAATAGTCGAATAGCAACATCGTTTCTCACAACAATTGTACTTGGTTCATAGTTTGGATCTAGTCGACAGCGAGATTGATCAAAACAGTTTTGATGATTATTTTGGAAATGTTCAGTCATATTTGCCAGCATGTATCTCAATGTTTCTGCATTCTCGCCACAATTTTTCATGGCTGTATAAGCAAATTTCCTTATTGCTTCTGGTTTATCTTCCAGTTGAGCATGCCATGATTGACCATGCTTATACTTGGGCCCTGATGCAACATTTTGAATTTGCTTCTTTAAAGCAATGCAGGCGTGCCATGAGTCATTTTGGTTGTCCGTAAATATCTGAGTATCTCTCACAAGGCAGTTCACAGCACCATTACAATCGTGAACGTGTGTACCAATAGACACATTTTGCCTCTCAAAATCATCATACATTCTGCGTGTGCCAAATGTTTCATGTCGCTGTGAACAGGGATCATCTCTCTTTGTAACATGGATTGAATGCAAGACTTGATGAGTTTTTTCACCAATGCAAACTATATCACAGTCTTTAGCGTTCTTTCTGCAACCGTGTCTAGCATCTGTCATGATGGTTATTCCTTCTTCTAAGTTTGGATACATCCCAATTTCCAACTCGACAGCATTCTCAGATGATTCATTTTTCAAAGATTTAATTATATTGGCGAACTCCTTTGTAAGATTGTCCAAATAGCTTTGGGACATGGTGCCAATGTTAGCACCTTCAGAGAATCGTTCGTACTTTGAAGGTATCATCCCAGATGTAATATAACCATGGAACACTCTATAATTAACAAGAAAATGAGCATTTGCCATGTATGGGGATGAAGTCCATCTTATATTATGTCCATGCTCACATCTAAGATTAGCAATGGCGACGTGCCCATGCATTGTACTGTTCTCCCATTGAAGAGTGGAGTTACATAGTTCTTGGTGATGACTCGATTGTGCTACAAGAAGGTTTATGGCACTTGTTGTTGTTAAAAACATCAATTCGTTTGTGTCATCCTTGGAAACAGAGGAAAATGGTTGAAGTGGTACAAAGTCCTGATTGATGACCAATTGCGATGCTGGTTGTGCCGTTTCAGTTTCTCTTGAATGATTTTTAATCCAAAAATCAAGGGCCTCTTCAATTACGTCAGTGTTATTTGACAACTTTTTAGAAAGCGATTTTTCCTTGAGGAATCTCATTTTTCTAAGAACTTCATTTTTTCTTACTTCATTTCCTCTCAGATAGAGTTGAAAGGTCAACCCTTTATTAGAGAATTTCTTTTCTTCACTCATTTTCTTTGATAGTTTTGCTTATATGCTTATTGATGTGTCTTATTCAGGAGAAAATCACTGATAAAGTGCTTGGTTTTGGTTTTTGAGTTTTGACAGATTTGTTCTCAGGGATGTGTCATTTGATAAGATTTCTTCTCTTCAGTTTTACCAATGATCTGGTGAAATTGTAAATGTACACAGGAAAGTAACTTTTGTACATGGAACTAAATATTAACTTAGTCATTTCATTTTTATGCAAGAATGATCTTACTTCCAGCACCATTTGGCAACTAAGCAATGTCAAACAAGTTATTGTCATCCAGCTTGCATCATTCCTTACTCATGTTGTCAGATCTTATAGTTTACTATTAAGTTTGGGTGATCCTGGGGGGGGGGGGGTGACCAGAGACTTGAGGCAAATCCAAGGGGTCATCAGAATGTGTTCATCCATGGCTAGTAAAAATGTCAACTTTCATTTGTGTGCCTTATTGATATAGAGTAATGTGAATTTATATGGTCTATTATATTAATTATTATAGCTTATAGTGTAGCTAATCAAGTGGAGTACTAAGTGGTACACCCTCGGTTAGATAATGATGATCCATAGGAGGTAGCTATCCAGAACATTACAAGTGATCATGCTGGTCTAAATCTACAAGTAATGGTCTGATTATGGGATGAAGATTACAGATCCATGGAACAGACACTAAAAGATCAAGGGATCTGCCATTGAAAAAGACTTTGAATGATGATAATCTAACTTTAATTTGATACACACTTGTGAAATGTCTTCATAAGTCTGTCAACACATAGCCATAAGGTCCCATTTACCTACCACTGCTCTTTTAGCAATTTCTAATGAATTACCATAAGTGTTCCAAAATGTGCCCAAACTACTTATTTTTGCTGGTTTGCATTATCCTGAAAAGTGTGCAAGTATTTTGATAGAATGAATATGGTATTTTGAACTTAGCTTGACTTGTATTAGAAGTAGAATCTCATGTGACCATCCCCACTATCTATAAACAGTATATTCAAAACTCTTATCAGAACCAGCATATAAACAATTACTTATAATCATTTTTGTTCCATGCAAAAATGTCTGCAAAACGTTATATATTTGCCATATGGACTGATGAAACAGAAGAACTTGCAATACGAACATTTTTAGAGCATTGTGGCATCACTGTGAAAGAAGCTGGTATTGAAGATTTAAAGCAACATTTGGAAAGTGAAAATAGTGAACAATCAAGCCAACCAGTCGAGACTAAAACTGACATGGATGTAGACAGTGACGATAATGATCCATTGGGCCCTCCGATATTTCCACCAGTATTGGGTACTGATGAATGCCCACATTGTTTTTGTGCCCCGTGTTGCACATCAGAACAGTTTAGACAGTTGTGGTGGCAAACAGAAACCATTGAGCCTCATGAAAGGAATTCAACAGCTAGAAAAAAATGTTACAAAAAATTCTGGGTGATGCTGCAACATAGAGGTGCATGGAGGCACCCTCGATATGTTTCAAAAAAACAATTGGCACTGCAGACGGATGCGAGGAGAAACTTATATGTATATCATGGACACAGAAGAGACATCATGCCAGATTGTATAGTAAGACTTGTGCGTGGATGGCTCTCCAATCCTGGAGGAATTGATTATATGGGACATCTATGGGATTAATGACTATACACCAAACTTTGCAGAAATGAAAACAATATACTAGATATAATTGATGAACAATTATAACCTAAATATCTACAATGAATTGTTTAATAATCAATGATGTTTGGGAAATTAGGATATATAAATATAAATGAATGAATCATAGCAACAAAATGCCATGTGCTTGTGTTTATAAATAACCCATTACTGCTAAGCCACATCCCCTGCTAACAGCTGATTGGCTGTTTGTTATCTGGTAGGCATTTCACATGTTACATAAGACACCCGGGTGTATCCATTAACTGAAGTTTTCCTCTTTAAACTTATTTTGCAATACGCATTACCTATACGTATCCGTAACAAACATACGGATAGGGATAGGTACACGTAGGGTTATATTTTTACGCTAATCTTAACCTCCCTGATATGTTACCTTACACGTGTGGTATTATATGGCATTGATCTGGTAGTTACACATATCCTTAATTTGAGATTGTTTTGGATCGTTTCTGCTTTCTTCTCGGGGCCTTCTTCGGTATGGCATTGGTCTTATATCTGAACATTTAGTACGGCATCGGTCCTATATTTGGCCTTTGGGCATTATTTGGGTTGGTATGGGAAAACATTGAAATTTGACATATTGGTATGGGAATATATTGATATCTAAGCGTTCAACCTGGGAATACTATTTTATTCCAAGGTTCAACCTAAGACCCCCGCCGAATGTTGTATACAGTGAACCCCCGGGATGTACATGTTGTCATGTTTCCTCTTTTGTTCCATAAAAATATTCATTTAAATAAGGTTTTATAGGCATCTCCCTCATACATCTAATCCTTACCAATTTCATCTAAGAAGTACTACATTTTTCTACATTAGTCAATTGACTAAAGTTGATTCACCGCTTGTTTATTCCATGATTTGTTTTAATTCTTTGACTATTTCAGATGCTTCCATGGTCGCCCACACTTCCTGCCGAGGGTAATTGAGCCAGTATTTTGTCACTAAGTCCCTTTGAGTGTGACGCCCAGCACGTTCAAACCATCCCAACCGCCAAACTGTATCTATATCTGTTGGTATGGGACCAAAAGTATCAGCATATTTGTCCCTAACAAAGACAGCATTGTACCAGTCTACATCTATAAGAGTGTACCCCAGAGGGGCTAACAAGTCATGGTAGGCCCTGAGAGATGCACCATACAATATCTGTTTTTCCTTGGGTCGAGTTGCTAGTAATGTCCAAACAAAATCTGCAGAATAGTTCATATGATAGTGGACGCTAGGAGGAAATACAGGATTGAATTCCAAATCGTATATATCTGCATAGACGCCAGCATCAAGAAATGCTTTAAGAACATCCCAGTCATAGGAATCAATATCTACCTTCATATATCCGATTCTTTTTGGAATACTGTATTTTTGCGAAATGTTGTGCACAGCTTGTGGAATCATAATTTGATTTGTCTTGTTGATACGCCGACTGATATAGTCTTTGCCTAAGCGTCCATCCGATTGAAAACCTTTCCATCCAGCCCTAGCCATGAGTTCAGTGGCATCAGATGCCCCAGCCGCACCTATATCCACACTGTATTTTTCAATAGATAGAGGATATGCCGTTTCAATGTATTTTACCAGATTTACACCAGATATATGATTCGATAAAGATCCAGCGTGGCCTTCAAAATGTCTTACTGTTTGTCCAATAAGTTCTCCAGGATGGGTTATGTTTTTTTGACAGCCCAAATGTTGCCAAGCTGTCTTGGAGTGATCAGAAATATTATTCCAAGAACTTTTCTTTATATCCTTTTGAATTTCAAAACACTTGAACTGTTTATCTGCATCTGAGATTAGATCTAGGCCTAATTCTCTTTCTCTAGATCTATCCAATCTATATTTGGGCAACATTTTGGTATCACCGTAATTCCATGTGTTCCCGAGCATCATATCAATCATTATATATAATCCAAGTATACTAATAACTCCGACCATTATATACACAATAAATGACTTTTTCCGCATCATTTTGCTTATGACAGGAAATGGAAATAATGTCCATATAATATCCGTATATCGATTGCCTTGGTAGTTGCTAGGATGCATCTATAAGGAGACCCCTTGGCTTCTTCAGATTTTAAAGATATGTGGCAGTTCAACGTCCGTGCCAATAATTTTCAATTTCACAACTTAAAGGGTGACGCATATCGTTTAGCAAATCGAACGCTCGTTTCTGGTGTTGCTCACCGTTTAGTATAAAAGGCCCGATCCCGGAATAATACTCAAGGGTTCACAGGTTTGAGGTCGTTGTGTCAACACCTCTAACTGTTATATAGCATAAGTATATTATGGATCGTCACACATTTATAAAAGGGTGATTTTTATTTTGACAAATCAATTCCACATTTATGGGCGAAGTTTCAGGATCATCTATTTGTGTATAATAAGGAAAAATTGGCATCTAAATTTCCCCATAACGTAATAGCACACAGCTTGGCATATGAAATATCCTACAAATGAAACAAAGCAAGACAAACCGGTTTCTAATGCAAGGATTTAAATTGGCTGTTGTACATGTATTCTTTGAACGCAATCACTCTTTGGATAACGTTTTCAAAATCATTATAAACGGATTACTTTATCTCAAAGACAATTTCAATAAACTGGATTTTACAGAACTCCCCTTATTTCTTAAAAATGGACTGATCCAGTTGATTCGCCTAGAGCCGCCATATTGTTTTTATACGGGATGCTAATCGGAACCCTTTAAACATGTACATATTTACCTTATTTGCTCAATTTTTCTATTGTTACGTCTTTCAATTTATCATTCATATATCTCTGTATCTTCTTGTCAAACAACTCCTTTAATTCCCACTTATTTACGTACTGGTCAAATTTTTGTACAGGGGGGTGCCGCTGAGACTCAAAATATCTACCCACATCTAGGGATTTTTCTCTAAAAATGGACCCACATCTAGTGTTTTCTTTCAAAAATAGACCCACTTCAAGGTAATTTATAAAAAAAGACCCACTTCCGGCGATTTTTTCAAAAGCAGTACCCAGTTTTAGGATTTTTCAAAAAGTAGACCCTGTTCTAAGGATTTTTTCATCGAAATGTGACCCATATGTGTCCCCATATAGCCAATATATGGGAGTACCCCCCCCCCGGGTTCTGCTATAGAAGGTATTTTCTTTTCTCGCATATTTTTCTCTAACTTTCACTTGTTTTTCTATCTAATCCATCTATTGCCTAGTGTTTCTTATAACTTTCAATTTGTACATCATTATTACCAAAGTTTCATATATTTTAATAAAGTAAATTGTGTAAATTTATGACATTTAAATCTCTCTTTTGTTGCAAATGTTTTACGTGACTTTTTGTCTGCTATTCTTTGTATTTTCAGTTTACGGGACCGGAGAAGTGCTTCCATTCTGTGACATTCAATGTCTTACATTTTTTTATTCCCAATTTCCCCAATCCATTTTAGAATGAGTATTAGCTTGCTTTACTCAATCTAATTCTCGCTTTGCGAGCTCATTCCCTTATTCCAGTTTTTAGAACGGGTATTGCTTGCTTTCCCCGAGTCTTTATGGCGTGCTTTGCAATGCCCATCCATATCACAATTTCTCTTTAACTTTGACATTCCATTCAAAACCAATAAATGTTAAAAATGGGAATTTTTCATGTAATTGAAAATAGCTAAAACTAAAATGATTTTTTCTAATTGTTTTATGTATTTTAAAATAATATGCCTTTATCTTTATTCGGTCAGCATACTTATTGATCAGTCCGGTTGTACATAACTTTGAAAATTCGCTTATAAGTTGTGAATTTCGTGAATTTGCTGATGTAACAGGACAACACGCCCGTGAAAACATGTCATATCTCAGTTATAAATGGTCGCATCTTTTCGTTTTGGTTCTTTTAGCATAGAAAACATTCAGTCAGAGTGTGATGACAGCAGTGTATTTGCTTCTCACCTACTACCGATTATATATACCCATTATAGTAAGTGTACAATTTATTCTGTGAAAAACGTCACGGTCGTTAAAACAGGCCCAGACGACAGTAGGGAAACTCGAGATAGATTAATTATCCGTGGTTATAAAGTCTTTAGTTCAGTTTATCAGACCAAAGTGTTACAAATCGTGATAATAGTTGTGATTGAATTATAATGAACATGATCTGAAAAATTCTGAAAAATCACCGTTTTGCTTGTGAAAAACGACCGTGATGTTACTCATATATTGACAGTAGTCTTGTTGGAAATGGGGCAATTTTCAAGAAAAACAATATGACCACTCCATCATTACATAAAAGGATTTTCGATACAACAAGCATTACCTCATCTATGAACTGATATTGTGCAAAACTGTGACAATCGTCACGCGTGAAAAACGTCACGGTTATAGCATTGAACTCAAAGCAGTAATTAGCCATTTCTATAAATCCCAGATGGATTGATTTAATTTTATATTATGACCCATATTATTAAAACACATGTTTAAAAGTTATTCAGTGACTACGCATAAAGATCAACTCATAGGCAAGGAAACGGAAACACCTAACGAATTTGCACTTTTGTAAATGTGCTTTTTACATTTTATACGTCTTTACAACAATACGTACCATGCAAGCAAATGACAAGTTATTTGGGAATTCCATAAGCATAATTTATCGGAAAAGTCATAAGAAAAAATGTTATATGAAGACCATTAAAGCCCAAAATAGTTGACCCTCAGTAAATAACATTTCGTTCAGTGTATTCCCGGGGATCGCTGAATTCAATCATAAAGTCACTTAATGTTTGCATTCTGTTTTATTTTCAATGAATGCAATTGTAATTAATGGAGAACAGCATAAACCGAAAACTCTAGTTAAGTAATATGAGCGATTACAGCTTTTCAACCATGTTTTCGTGTTATAATTAATTTTTATTTATTTCAATTCCATTTGCACGATCTGTATATGATCTGTAATATAATAATGTAATAATATACCTTTGCGAAAAGCAATTCGTTAAGCAATCCCCGAGAATATTAAAGAAAATGTAAGGCAAGCAATGCAAAAACACTCCTCTCTGAAATATATCGCCAACAGACTAGCAAAAAGAAATCAGCACAAAATTCACGCTTCGAGAATGGAGGCAACAAAGCGAGATTAATTCTTTCAATGTTCTCTTTCTCTAAAACAAAACCGAGATAACTCATTGCACTGAATATTAAACTTCCAGAACTTCAAAGAAAAAATGAAAATCACAGGAAAGAATTGAGTTTATGCTGAGAGTTTTGCTATGTGATATCAGAAACCGTTGAAAAAGTATCGAGTCTGACAAAAAAAATTCGTTCTAGGACTAGCGACTTAACTCAGCTCGAATGAAGCAAAACATAACGATAAGAACGTTTTCAGTGGCCATGAAAAATGACCTTGTGATGAGATCGGGGCATCGATGAAGCGCTCCGCAGACCAAAAGAAAATTTCATATTCACAGTGCAGATCAAGGAGGATTGGCTCCCAGAATCGAAGTCGATATTTTCCAACAATGAAAACGCCGAGATGTCGTTATTTTCTGAAATTATAACCGATTATAAATTCAAAATAAACAGTTCAAAAGATTCGAACTAATATCTCGATCATTTCCTGTGAGTTTTGGAATTTTTCGTTAGGAAATAAGACCAAAATTCACGATTCAAATGCTGAAGTGAACAAAATGGCGGCTGTTGGAATTCAAATTTTGTAGCACGACATGCCCATATATGGGACAGAATATCGATGTTGCACTCTGGGAGCCAATCCTCCTTGGTGCAGATGATTTTTATGCTTTGGTTACGTCAGACTTAAATACGTCAGCAATATCATTCTTATATCTTTCAAATGAAAACGTACAATCAAGTAGAGTTATCATTAACAGATTTTAAATGAAAAAGTTTCTCTTTAAATTTGAAATCTTTATAAGGGACTTTTCTGATGCATGATTGAATGCCTTTAATGTCATTTGGAATGAACATGTACATGGTTGCCCTGCTGTTTGTGGCGCATGTAGGAAAGACTTCACTACGTCACCCTGCAGTTGTCAAGTAAACACCAATAGTAAAAATTTCTCAAATTGTAAAAAACAAATCAAAGTGTCTGTCTTACCTCATACACTAAAAGAGATTAAAAGGGAACTAGGGCGATTAGGTGCTTGACGACATGGCATTTGCACCATCGATGTAAAGTGTAAAAGCGCTGGTTTCTTGAATCAGTGAAAAGTTTTGGTGAAGTTGATTCAAAAAGATAAATAATGCGGTTTTTACATAGTTATTGAAAATAGAAAAGAGGTGTTCAGTACATATAAACTATGATTGCATATGAGTCCACATATGTAACATGTACGTAACTGCTTTTTCCTTGGAGAAAGTGAAACTCGGCGCGATTCTACTATTCATACTTTATGTCGAGTTTTGAGGGAAAATTAAACATAAAGGTGATAATATAAGACAAAAATACAAACTGGTTTCTCAATTCACCTAGCTATAGTCATCAAAAAATGACCATTCTTGAATTAAGACTTCTCTTAAGTGAATATATAACTCATTGTCATTTGTTTCCAATTTTCTTGTGAAAAACGACACGCGGAAAATTGGTGAACCAGTCGAATGATCATTGCTCCCAAAATAATTTTTTTATCATTTTCCATTCGTCTAAAGCATCATTCATGACCGAATCGATTCATGTTCAAATAGGATCGACCCCTTTCAATTTTACTCAAATTAAAAACACAACGTATGAAAAAAATCGGAGAAAAATGATGGATTCGGATGTTTCATGTTGACAAGTGATGCACATTTTAAGGAAAATACTTGAAGTCAAAAAATTCATTTATGATTTTAAAGGACAGGAGAGTAGCAAGAGGAAAATCCTTGGTTTTTTGAAAATGTTGCATTCTAATGTGAATATCTTGGCATATAATCACGGACTGAAACTGTGAAAATCGTCACGCTTGAGACGGGCCCTAATTTCATTTTGAAATTCCACCTATTGTTCCTCGGAGTTTACTTCAATGCTTTGGGTAACGTGTGTATAAATGTATACAGATACATACTACATGTCTATTTGAAAAAATCATTTTATTGCTTTTTTGAATTTTTAACAAAATTTGTCTCACACTTAAGCCGTTTTCAGTGATTCCCATTAACCTTTACCAGTTTACGCACTGTTCCCGGGACCGTTCATTCTTCATAACCACTACTTTATTTCCATTCTAAACCCTTATGTTTCCCCAATAAATAAATATTAATTCCCCAACCTCCACCCCATTTCATAAGGTTTTTGCTTGCATCACCTTATGTTATTTGTGGATGTTTGCATGCATCATCCAACTTAATATAAATATATCTGAACGTAAGCTTGCTTCGTTCTTTGATTAAATTTTCACACGTCGCGAGCCACTAATCATGGCTAATTCATATAATCAATTTATCAAATTTTAATGATCATTAATCGCGATCTTAGTCCATGGTTAACTTATTAATAATTCAATCAAATATGATTAGTTCTAACCAATCATTTATTCCGAGTGTGACTCTGATCAGTGATTGTCATTGGTGACCATACAAGGGCCCGTGCACTCACCCATAGTAATGGCAACTATCATTTTACTTGATTCACAACTGGATCATAACTAGAAAACAGCAACCCCACGGAGTAGCAAATCCCAACGAACACTATACAAATCATGAATCTGTACAGTCACAATGTAATATTTACCATCTACTCGTCACTTCAATA